AGTACTTTGTCTCCCAGTGAAAACCTACGCAGCCGAGTACCCCTGTTGTAGGAGCGGCTCTGATGTTCTTGAGCGTGAACGAACTTCCGAATCATATTTTTAAGGGTTTGGTTAAAGCGTTCGTTTGTTAGTGTTCATCAAGAAATCCAGCTTGTTAAATCTTCTGTAAATGATCTAATGTGTGATGAGCTGCTAGTAATGTGTAAATAATTATCACACTTCAACAGGACTTTGGAAATGTTGAGAAGAGGTCAGAAAGCTTAGATTGACCTGATTGACCAAGAATCTGGAAATGGGTGGACGGCTCAGCACTGACCACTGGGTAAGAGACCACACAGTGAAGCTCTGTTAATGAGCAGGGGTGTAAATTTAGTTCTGATAAGTCTGGGGGCAACACTGAGGGGCTGCAGTCAACATGCATTAATTCATACCTAAAACTAGGAGCACTGAGTTACCATACACTCATGATAACTAATGCTTTATGTGCAGGGCTGGTGTTAGCCTTCATAGGGTCCAGAGCAGAACCTGATTAGACACCCTCACCTAAACCTTGTATCACCTCTACAAAAATAATAAACTGTCACCCCTTAATTCCCCCTACAGTCATCTGCTGTTAATCATGTTCACACAGTAGTTCTTCCATTATACTGTTGAAATCATCTAACCCTTAAAATTTTGCTTTTCTTCACAGAAGACGGGACATGGATGATCTGAGGGAGGAGTTTTGACGAGAAACCTTGTTATGCAGATAGCAAAGAAACTAACATTAGAAAACTGATGATAGACTTTGTCCGACTTGCCTCCAACTCCCTATACAGGGCACTGCTTAGGTCACAGAAGTATGACTTCTACACGCTAATAATGCATTATGAATCTATAGGAAGCTGAGTACACTGTAGCTGAAACACAAGTAGGTGTACACAGCTAAAAAAGAGGCTAAGAAAATCATAGGAACTGCAGGTCTGTCTAAAGGAACCAGACATTGAGGAGAAAATCAACAGGAGAGCCTCATTTAAAGCAAACCACCAAAGACCAGCCTGTTTAAAATCGTGTCTGCTGGTGTTCTTCTCAGCAGTGAGTGTGATTTTGCCTCTAAAATACTATAAAATATTAGAATAAATCCATATAAATAAAGAAAATAAGAATAATTTAATAAATTGTTTTTTATATTTTCTTTAGAAGAAAGCAGTTAACATTCAGTCACTGAGTCACTAAAACCCATTAAAACACATTTAATCTCACTGACATGGAGCTTTTAAGAGTTTAACTTCATCAGAGGAAAAAGATCTTAGAAAGAGAAGAAGATTCTGCAGATTTCTGCTAAAATGGTTTGTAAGGTTTGTTAAATCAAGCTTATCGTATCTCATTACGAGGAAGTTCACATTTTTAAGAAGGTCTTTGAATTCCCTGCATAAGTATTTAACTCAAAGTTTAACAGTAAAATACAGAAAAGAAAAAAGGAAAAAGCACCAGTTCTGGTCAATAAGAGCTGATCAAGTTCAGCACCCTGGACAGTTCCAGTGAAGTGACCCTGTTAGAGTCTGGGTTAAACGCATCATCATCCTAAATCACATGAACAGCCGTGATCAATAACCAATAGATCAACAAACACAATGATCAAAAGCTGATTTGGACTCTGTGAAAAAACAACATCTGTACCCAGAGCTGAAGTGTGACTGTTACAGCTAGAGCTTCAGTTCAGGACATAAATGTCAGAACTCGGTCAAAACAGCAGGAAATCATCTACAAGAATGCTCATTTCTGCTAGAGCCCCCATGGGGTGAACATTTATCAGCTGTTCTAGATTAAACACAAACATCTGAAGCTTGTAAAAGACTTTCCTTTTGTTTTATTTGAAGTTTGTAACAGACAGTAACATATACTTTATCTTGTATGTAGCAGTTTTACAGTGAGTCCTTCAGGGAAGAGTCCTGACACTGAGCCGTTGCTGCTGCTGTTCTCCATTTCTAACAACTGACTGAAAACTGGACTCAGAGACTCCAGACTCCACCTGGACATGAAGCCACTTGTGAACATCTCTGGATTCACTGTCACTTCCTAATTATGCTGAATTCAATCTAACGTGTCTAACACTCACAAAATAAAGGCCAAAACCGACAGACAGCAGCGAGCTAATAAACTACAACCAGACTTGCACTTGAAAGTCCTTCTGTCCAACTCCTGAAGACCTGAACAAAGAGAGAGCTCGCTTGGCTGTCTCTACCTAGATGCCATTTTATATTAATACCAGTTTAAAAATAACAAGCATGATCATTCTATTAAATAAATATGAACTAAAAATCACAGACATTTATTGTTTAGTTCTTGGAAATCATTAGATCTTCTCTGAAGGACTAGAAGGTTGTAAGGGTTCCTCACTGTGTAGAACTCATGATTTTGGATGCAGTAACTCATAAACACAGTCATTGGGTGGATCTGCTGTTAAGCTGGTGAGTGGTGCCCTCTTGTGGATCATTATGATGTGACACTCAAACTCAGCCTGTTTAAAATGCTAACTGGAGCTTCCTTAGAGGATTCTACAATACTGACCAGTAACTGTTCAAACTCATGTTTTCTGTAATATTGTGTTGTATTTTGTCCACTGACTGATACATGAGACTCTACAGACTGAACTGAGAGCTGAGTGACAATGAGGAATGATGGGAAAAGCCCTATAGCTGTTACAGAATGACTTCAGGAGGATTTTTATCATTGCTGTAACATCTCATAAAGACAGTGTTCACAGAAAACAACTTCAGTGAAGATTATCTCATTAATTCTCACATGAATATTATTTTGTTTTGTGATAGTCTATTGAGGTAACTGTGTAATTACTATATTTCATGTAAACAAAATCAATATAATTTAACTTTATTATGTCATATAAATTAACTCTGATGACCCTTAATAGTATCATTTAGTAATGTATTAGCCTAGTATATGTTTGTAAATTGGTTTTTATATTTTGATGTTTTTATATTGTATTTATATCTACCATCACAAAACACATTGAAAGATTTATGTGATATGACAGTCACTTTAAACATTATAAAGAGTTGACAGATCTGTGATTTTATCTGTGTGTCTATCTAGAAATGATAGAAATAATAGAATGATAAATTATAGCTTACCTTTTACTTCAATTGTACTTTAATTGTACAGTCCACAATCGAAAATTACATACAACCTTGTTTCCAAAAGTTGGGACAAATAAAAACCAAATGCCAATGATGTGCAAATTATTTAAACTCTACACTCTTAAAAATTATGGTTCTTCAAGGGTTCTTTAGTAAAGAAAATGGTTGTATATAGAACTAAGAGTTCTCTGCATCACCAAATTCTTCTTCAGATTGATGGTGAATGTGCTGTAGATTGTTCTATATAAAACCTCTTTGAAAAGGATTCTTTTATTCTTATGATGTCAAGCCTGTAACAATAGAAGAACAACTTATAATGCTATATAGAACACTTTTCAAAAATGTTCTATATAGAATCATATTAAACACATTCTTCTTCAGTCTGAAGAACCCTTTTTTGATTCAAAGAACCATTTGATCATGCAAATGGTCAAAAAAACAACATAGCAGATATGGGAAAATGTGAGAAAGTGAGAATTGTTTAATTTTTAAAAACGTGCCAATTTTTAATTTGATGACAGCAACATGTATCAAAAAAGTGGGACAGGGGCAACAAAAGACTGGTAAAGTCATGTAATGCAGACATGATTCTGCAGTGGAAATCACAACATGGGCAGAGCAACACTTCCAAAATACACTTTCTATGAACACAGTTCATCACTGCATCCACAGATGCAAGTTAAAACTCTACAGTGTAAAGAGGAAATCATATATAAACAGTATCCAGAATTGCTACCACCTACTCTGGGCCTGAGCTCATTTACAATGGACTGAGGTGAAGTGGAAACATGTCCTGTTGTCCAATGACACATAATTTGAATGATATATACAGGTTTTGGAGTAACACATGCTCCCATCCAGATGACGTCTTTTTCAGGGAAGACCTTGCTTATTTTAGCAATACTATGCCAAACCACATTTTACATGTAGTACGACAACATGGCTCCATAGCAAAAGAGTCCAGTTGCTAAACTGTCACCAGTGAAAACATTTGACGCATTATGAAACAAAAAATACAGCAAAGGCAACCCTGAACTGCTGAGCAGATGAAATCCTGCATGAAACAAGAATGAGAGAACATTTCACTTTCAGAACTACAGCAGTCGGTCTCCTCAGTTCACAAATGCTTAGAGTGATGTCAAAAGAGGAGCTGATGCAGCACAGTGGTAAACATGCGCCTGTCCCAACTTTTTTTAAATGTATTGCTCCCATCAAATTCCAAATGGCATATATTTTTCAAAAAACAACAAAAGTCATCAGTTTCAACATTTGATATGTTGTCTGTGTATGATTCAATCAAATATATATTTTAAATGATTTGCACATTATTGCATTGTTTTTATTTACATTTTGCACAGCATCTTAACCTTTTTTTGAAGACAGGATTGTAAAATTAAATATGAAATATATGAAGAAAAAAATCAGTAAACTGACAAGCCCACAGAGAGAGAAAAAACAGACAACACACAGGGATTGGCAGGGCATCAGAGGGGAATGGCAGCATCTCAGGCTTTTGGCTCTTTAAAAGATGCAAACATTGTCTAAAAACTGTTTCAGCCAGACCTTAAACTAGAAATAAACATAAAAACAAAACACTGTTCATGTAGAGATTTATGGAGACATGTTTTTAGCATGACATGAAAGGTAGTTTTAGTCAGTGGCCTTTCGTCACGCAGCCAGTCGTGTTTTTCGGGGGGGGGTGGACAGTATGTTTTGGCCCACCACTTTCCGAGATGTGGCGCCCCCCCTGCAGAGCTGCGGCACTGCAGATGGACACTGCTGGGAAAAGACCCCAGTTCTGAGAAATCACGTGGTCTCTTCATACCCGTTTGAGGGGGCGACGCCTGGGCATAAAGACCCTGAGCAGCGCATCTTTGACTCAGACTTCGTGTCGGATCCACCGCAGCTGACCTGCAAAATCCTCGCCTGATTCTTTCTCTTTGCTTGAAAGATCGTTTGAGTTCGGAGCTGCTAGAGAAGAACAGTCCTCCACATTTTACACCTGCAGGAGAGTCAGAGTCAGCAAACTCACAGGTGGGTTAAACCTGCGGTCAGTGTGTAAACAGTGTTTAATGTCGTTTACCGGGGGAAACAGGGCGGTTATCCTAAAGCGCGATAAGCCAGACTCATTTTGTTTAGTTTGAGTTCCACCAAAGAAGCTTCAAAAAATTATAGTTTTGAGCCAGCCTAACGTTAGGCTGAATCTCAAACGGACCCCTGCAGTGCACTATGTAGGTCATGAAATAACGGTTTATACGCTGGAATAGCGCTACATGACTAACACAAAGCCATCTATATTCAGCTAAAGTTGCGCACAACTCTTACATCTAGAGCACTATGTGAGGAGTAGGGAGTCATTGAGACTCAGTATGATCTGGATAAGTTCAGATGTGTGACGTGGTGTGATTGCTGGGCTGAATCATCACTTTCATTTTTTCAAAGAAATCTGCAGGGATATTTTTCCACACTTCTAGCATTTAGTCTTAGAAGTCAGTTGAATTTTCTGCTTCTCACAATCAAAGTAATCCCAGACACATTCAGTGATGTTGAGGTCTTTAACCTCTGGATTCATGCTGAGCACTAACCTTTTGTAATCCCTCTTTACCACCAAATAAGGAGGCCTGTATAGTTTTGGCACATTGTGATTAACGATTTGTGTGTGAGCAGATGATTAAAATAGAGTTATTAAAGAGTCGACTGTACATTTCTAGAAAACTGGTAGAAAGGACAAATTCAGTCCACCATCATGCCTACCCTGCCTAACAGCATCCAAATCACAACATTTGCTGGTGACCAGCCTTGATGGTCTATGCTGACTTTTCTAACAGGTAATCCCCCTTCATTTAGAGGATAATGGTTTCAGTATGACTTTACTCCAAAATCCAGGACAGACTGAACTGTCTGACACAATAAAGCTCAATATTTTAAAGCTATTTGAAAGATCCTGACATTATCTTTATATAAACACTATCATACAGTTTAAAAAAAAAAGGAAAAAAAAACAAAAAAACACTTCTACCACGAAAAAATAATAAGCACTCAGTTCACATGTAATTGAAAGAGTGGCCATTATGAATTAAATACAAATAAAAAGTATCAAAAAAATATTTTGATGACCATTCAGCTAAATATTTCCTTACAGATGGAAACAAACTGGTGACATCTCTGGTATTTGCTGCCATTTATCCTAAAACACTCTCAGTTAAAAATACTTTTCTCACAAATTCAAACAAACGTGTAATTACAGGGATAATCAGCCCAGTCCTTTACTGTAACGAATCAGTCCTCATCTCCTAAATTCCTGTTTGGTTGCCCAGAAGCTAAAAGAGAGAATCAGAGAATCCACTGTGTTTATTAGAGCAGTGAGGAGTGAGAGTCATTAACTGCAGTGTTAGAAATGTTTCCTTCCTGGCCCTTTCTGACTTCACCGTCACCTCACTGAACCTGTTTGTTCTCCCTCAAAGCTTCGGGGGGTTGCTTCAGAACAAGGGATTGCAGTGGTGCCAATGTTCAGAGCATCGATTCTAGGATCAGATCAGAGCCCCTGTTTGTTTTTTTGTTTTATTTTTTTCTCAGCATATCTTCTATCATTCTACAACCCATTTTCCAAAAAAAGTTGGGACGCAAAATGTAAATAAAAACAAAATGCAATGATGTGCAAATCATTTAAACCCTATATTTCATTGAAAATAGTACAAAGACAACATACCAAATGTTGAAACTGAGAATTTTATTGTGTTTTTAAAAATATTTGCCCATTTTGAATTTGATGCCAGCAACATGTTCCAAAAAAGTTGGCACAGGGGCAACAAAAGGCTGGTAAAGTTGTGTAATGCTACACCTGGTGGTTGATTGGCAACAGGTCAGTAACATCATTGGGTATAGAAAGAGCATCCCAGAGAGGCTGAGTCTTTCAGAAGCAAAAGGTGAGAGGAGCTTTCACCACTCTGTGAAAGACTGCACTAGCAAATAGTGCAACAATACAAGAATAACCTTTCTCAACATAAAATAGCAAAGAACTTCTTCTACAGTACATAATAATGTTAAAAGATTCAGACAGTCTGGAAGAATTTCTGTAAGCAAGGGATAAGCCCAAAAACCAGTATTTGCTGGCCTTGATTTTTGGGCCCTCAGGCGTTAAAAACAGACATGATTCTGTAGTGGAAATCACTGCATGGGTTTACAAACACTTCTGAAAACCACTGTCTGTGAAAACAGTCTTTTTCAGGGAAGGCCTTGATTATTTCAGCAAGACAATGTTAAACTGACCTGCCTGCAGTCCAGACTTGTCACCATTGAAAACATTTGTTGCATTATGAACAAAAAATACAATAAAGCAGACCTTGAACTGTTAAGCAGCTGAAATACTATATGAGGCAAGAACAGGAAAACATTTCACTTTCTAAACTACAGGAGTCGGTCTCCTCAGTCCCCAAACGCTTATAGAGTGTTGTTAAAAGAAGAGGTGATGAAACACAGCAGCAAACAGGCCTCTGTCCCAACTTTTTTGGAACGTGTTGTTGGCATCAAATTCAAAATGGGCATATATTTTTCAAAAAACAATAAAATTTTAGTTTTGACATTTGACATGTTGTCTTTGTACTACTGTCAATTAAATATAGGGTTTACATGATTACATGATTTGTATGATCTTTTTTGGAAATGGGGTTGTGTATATATATATATATATATATATATATATATATATATATATAGTGTGTGTGTGTGTGTATGTATATATATATTTTAATTATGTAATTTCCAGTAAAACACAAAATAAAAAATGTTCATTGTCATAAAAGAGCAGGAAACATTCAACACCAAAAACTCCAACAGTACAATGTAAAAAATGAGAGGTCTGCTCAACTTAAAATCATAAAGTAACTGATTACATGGCCTTTCTTGAGTTGACTCAACTTGAGGTCACGAGTTCACACAACTCAAACTTCTTAATTGAGTCAAAAGTTCTCCCAGCAACTGTTTCCAGGTCTGCATCTCAGTTAGATCAACAAAATCAAAGTCTTGTTTCTTTACTCTATTTCCCCTTTAACTGGCAGTCCTTCTATCACACGGTCCCATCCTGCACTTTTTTTTCTTGGGTTTCTTGCACCACTTGAGACTACAACATGCTTCAAAGTTAAAACAACAAATATTTTCTACAGTGTATTTATGGACACCAACTCCAAGTTGCTTCAGGTGTTGCTGAATGGTGCAACGGACTAAGCCGTCACCCCAACAGGAGACCCCTGAGATGGAACCCCAGTAATGCAATAACAATCCATAAATGTGTACCCAATGTTTAGTAGGATTTTATGATGGAAAGAGTCCTGGCTAGTGGGGAAATTGAGCTTAAAACCGAATGTATTCTATTTTACCTAACTGAGAAGCAAAACTAAAAAATTGAGAATTTTTGGCTTAAGAAAGAAGTTTGAGTTGTGTGAACTTTGGTGTTGTCAAGCTGAGTCAACTGAGTAGAGCAGATCTCTGTTTTTAACACACACACTTTCTAAGTCACTTTTCCTTCTGGGTTGTGGGATCATTTTTAACAGTCTAATTATAATCTATCAGTACTTAATGTTTATCTAGTGCTGGGCAGTAATAAGGCATATCACAGTACTTAAAATTATGTTATTAATTTTAAAATGATGATCAGAACTATGACAGTGTCAACTGTTACTGGTAGGTGGTGACAGAACCTGATAGAGAGGGGAAAGATCAGGGCCAGGAAATATCTCAGTGACAGCTAACGGCTACACACACCAAAGAGCACTTTCAGTTTCAGCTTTCTGTCACATGACTTTGTTCTTTGAAATGTGAGTTTTTATGATCTACACTGTGTCTGCAGAGCACCAGTTGGTTGGAGTCTAACCTTTACTGCAGTGTGTGACACTTCTTGGCCTGCTAACTAAGCTAGACTCACAGAATAGGTTACATTTAGCTTTTCTGTCTTTTAAACACCAGGTGCTCTGTTTCACTACCTCAGGTTTGAATCATTATTATTAGTGTTGTAGACAAGACCGCTAGATCTGATTCAGAGTCAAGTCAGAGATGGTGATACATTGAGTCGGAGTCAAGACCAAGATTTTTAGTAGTCAAGTCTAAATCAAGGCTGAGACCAGATTAAGATTTTTGCTTTGTGTTCAGGGTAATGTACCGTATCTCACAAAAGTGAGTACACCCCTCACATTTCTGCAAATATTTTATTATATCATTTCATGGGACAACACTATAGAAATGAAACTTGGATATAACTTGAAGTAGTTAGTGTACAGCTTGTATAGCAGTATAGATTTACTGTCCTCTGAAAAGAACTCAACACACAGCCATAAAGAGCTGTCAGTAATCTCTAACTCTGTTGCTTGTCACTTGCTTACTATCTGCAAAGTTTTTTCAAATTCTAAAACTAGCCGGCTTGTCAGCTAACTCGGCTAACGTTAGTGTTGGCTTGACCACTTGACCGAGGAAAAATTCATTTGCCACAAATCCATATTGTACGTAGGTATCTTCAGATTGTATATTATAGATTTTCAAATAAGATGCAATGTTTATTTACTGAGGTCTGATATGATTGGCTGAGCTGGAGGACTCCATTTTTTACAAGATACTTACCATCTATACGCCATCATAAATAACAAAAGTGCTTAATGTAAACATTGGAAATCAATCTCATTCCAGTGACTACAGAGCACCAGTCAGCTGGATTCATTACAGAACACTCTAAAGCTCTACTTGCTTGTGTCACTCAACATTTCTTTTAACTTCTAACCACTTCCCCTTTAACCAACCTACTACTGCTACCACCAATACTTACTACTAAAAAAAAGGATTTGTAGAGTAGAGTGACAGTAATTCATTAAAAACATATAATTTTATGCCGTTTCTTTCTATGCTCTGTCCAGTTTAACAAACCTGAAGTTTGAAAAGTGATAAGAGAGAAAAGCTGCATCTGAGTAGTTGAATGAAACTTCCCTTTTAAGCTGCTTTCATTGATTCTGCCTGATTTATTGTTCATGGCCTCACTAATCATAGTGGCAAAGCTGACTAGATATCGAAGTCTCACTTAATTATTAGGACACGCCCAGGTGTACACCTAGACTTCAAAAGTCTGAGCAGTGGAGCTTTGGCACAGACTTCATCTAGTAAACCCTGTTGCTGTTCTTCCTGCAGAAGTCGTCGTCTGATTGATAGATTTAACTTAGTTTGTTTGAGTCATTTATCATTCTGATTACATTCCTGAAGAAGAATCAAACTCTTAGGTAGGTTCCACCTGCAATCAGTGAAAACAATATTTAACATATTTTAACCAGTGGTCATCGAATTATCACCTCTGTGGGAAAGAGTCAGAAACATTTTTAAGTAACAGTGCAAAGTATGCAGCATGTAGTTTTGGTTTGAAAAAGAAATTTGCCTCTAAACATTCTTTGACCTCTAAACATATAAACATCATGAAAAAAATGTGAACAAAAACTAAACTAAGCAGTTCAGTATGTGCACAAAGCTTACTTTTCCTCTTAACTCCTTCACTGTGTAGATCTATGATAAGTCTGTCACTGACCTTTTTTCCCGTTTTCTTATCCTGCTACTGTGTCTGTAACATATTTCTGTCTGTCTGTGTAGACAGACAGATAGAAAGTCACTAACCTCTTACAAACCTAGAGTAATTTTGCTTTTTTTGTATTTTGGTCAATAATAATTACAATTATAAAGTATTTACATGAGACATGTAAATCAGGAGACTCTGGGCTACTCAGAAATGCCATTATTTGACATGTCAATGCTAACAGAATTTTGATCTCTATAAATTTGGCTGTTTTTTCATAAAAAGTTTACTTGGTGTCTGCAAAATGTTTTGTAAAGTTTTGCTTACACAGATCTTGAAAATGTGTCACCTTAGATACCTTTTTAAATTGTTTACTCTGGAGTGTCTTTCAGCTGAAAATGCAGAAATTTTGATGGTAGTTTATTTAATTACTTATTGTTAAGTAAATGATTAGCATAGGCAGCCATGTTTTTCTTGATTTTCTGTTCTCTTGGATTCAAGCTGAGTGCTAAAACTCTGAGACACAGTAAATTTCAAATTGAGTTGCATGTTTACTAGCAGCTGTTTAATACTCAAACAATGTAAATTAAAAGACAGTGCTGTATGTTATTCAATTATAATAATATGTATCATGTTTATTGTTATTTATCTATTGTAATGTGTTTTAGGGTCTGCTTTGTTCATTTTGAGTGAAAAATTGAAGTGTGCTTAGTGTTGTGTATTGGAACACAGCCTCTGTTGTGTTACTCCACCCCTTCCCCCACTCTCTGAGCGCATATACATGGAGCAGAGCACACAGTCTATCATGTGCTCCAGTTTGGCTGCATTTGTAATGTTATTATATGTATTTAGCTGTAAATTTCTCATTATCAGCACTAGAGGATTTAGAAACCAGGAGAAGTTCCAGATCAAACATGTGCAGTGAGGCATTTAAATGGCCATTTAGTTTTTATTTTTGCTATTCATCTTTTTGGCGTTAATAGCTATAAAACAGATAATGGTAGCCAGTAAAGACTTACATATTCATTACCATTTGACCACATTTAGTGATGCACACCTTTTCTTTTGCAGTTTGTGTGGCGTTTAGCATGCCCCTCTTTTTGTGTTAATACCAAAAAACTAAGACAAGATTTCCAATGGGAATAAAATGCATGCATTTATAAACCATGCTTACATCTGTGCACATGCATTTTTCCTCCAATTTTTGCATTTAAATATATATTTTATTGTTCCCGTTAACCATGGACATCGTTGGATAAAAAAAAATAAATGAATAGATCCATAATCACTGTATCTATACACAGCTGATTAATTGTTGATGGTAACTTTGATCCATGATGAGAATTGCACACGACTTTAATTTTGAAAAAGGATGTTGAATTAACTAGTAGCTAAAAATATACTTGCCAATGCTTATTCTAACAACAGTGAGCATACTTTACCTGTAAAAGGGTGATATTATCTGTATACCGATATAAAGTGGTTGATCGCATAGGTTCAAAATTCATCAGACATTCACAGTTTTTAAGCTTCAGTAGATGCTTAAACATCTAGAATGTTAGTTTAAGCATGAGTTCTTTCCAATCGCATCAGAGTGTGTAGGAGAAAATGTCTTGTGCATTATACCAACTGTAAAGTTTGGTGGAGGAGGGATAATGCTATGGCGTTGTGTAGCAGGTGTCGCCCTAGAACCCTTAGTTCCAGTGAAAGGAAATCCAAGATATTTAGGACAACTGTATGCTTCCAACTTTGTGGGAACAGTTAGGGGAAGGCCTTCCAGCATGATTGTGCCCCAGTGCACAAAACAAGGTCCATAAAGGCATGGTTGGGTAAGTTTGATGTGGAAGAACTTGACTGGCCCGCACAGAGTCCTGACCGAAACACCATCAAACACCTTTGGGGTGAACTAGAACAGAGATTTTGAGCCAGGCCCTCTGATTCTACATCAGTGTCTGACCTCACAAATGCTCTTCTGGATGGATGGGCAAAAATTCCCACAGACACTCTCCAAAATCTCGTAGAAAACCTCCCAGAAGAGTGGAAGTTGTTATAGCTGCAAAGGTGGGAGCAACTCCGTATTAATGGATATGGATTTAGAATGGGATGTCATAAAAGCTCTTGTAGGAGTAATGTGTATGTGTCTCAATACTTTTGTCCATATAGTGTATATGTAGTCAAATTTAATGACCAAAATAAAAAATAAATAAAAAAATTTGGAGAACTTTTTCAGCCTCTAAAAATATTGAAGGGGAAACATTCTCCTGAACCATTTTGAATAATGTATGACTTATAGTAATTAAAATCAGCTCACTATATAGTTTTGCTTTGACAGCCATGAAGCAACACTTTTTAGAAGCATTTAAAACATGTTGGCCTGTTGAAAACAGCATCTTTATTTTCAGTTATGTTGTTACAGGTTTTGCTAAGGGAAATGAGGTGAGGTGAGTTAAGGGGCTCATGCAGAACATTTTCAAGGGGCCAAAAAAACTGAACCAAAGAAGATAAACTCAAAGTTTCTAGACGGTTATGTCAAGAGCTGTAATTATTGTAACACTGAAAGTCTGGTCTGAAATTGTTCAACAGATCACTGAGCAGTACCCACATCTTCGGAGATCTGTGGTAAACAAACACAATCATCATGGCTTGCAGGTGAGTAAAAATGTAATTCAGCTCTTTTTTTGATGACCGAAGTTGAGAAGTAACAATTATTGTTCGTATTGTTCATACTCTGTATTGCTGTTGCATCAAAATATTATACGATACAGAAATATAATTTTTAACAAATTCAACATTTATTTTGGTATTATTTAGGTGTTATTTATTTATTATTTATTTACTTTATTTTGTAATTGTATAGTTAGCTGTTTAGAGGACATAAAATGAAAAAATGACAACAAAAATTGCAATATCTCTATCTTGCTGTGTATAAAAAACTATATATCAATATAAAGTTAACTGAGCATTAATAGTTCTGTTACAGTCTGCTTTAGTGATTCTATAAAAATGGAAAGCAATGATATGCAAATCATGTAAACCATATATTTAATTTTAAATATTATATTTAGGAAAATACTACAAAGACAACGCATCAAATGTTGAAACTAAGAAATTATATTGTTTTTTTGAAAAATATATGCCCATTTTGAACTTGATAGCAGCGAAAGCATTAAGGAACTGAAGAGATCGACTGCTGTTTTTTCATTCTTGTTTGATATAGGATTTCAGCTGCTCAACAGTTTGGAGTTTCCTTTGTCATATTTCTTTTTGTTTTAGGATGCGGAAAATGTTATCAGCGGGTTACAGGTCTGGACTGCAGGCAGGCCAGTTTAGCACCTGGACTCTTTTAATATGGATCCATGCTGTTGTAATACATGCAGAATGTGGTTTTGCATTGTCTTGCTGAAATAATCAAGGCCTTCCCTGAAAAAGACGTTGTCTGGATGGCAGCATATGTTGCCAAAACATGTATATATCATTCAGCATTGATGGTGCCTTCACAGATGTGCACGTCACCCATGCCATGTGCACTAATGCTCCCCTATACCTTCATGAATACTGGCTTTTGCACTGATAAGAAGCTGAGTGGTCTTTAGCCTGGAGAACACAGTGTCCATGATTTCCAAAAAGAATTTCAAATGTTGATTCGTCGGACCACAGGACACTTTTCCACTTCACCTCAGTCCATTTTAAAAGAGCTCAGGCCCAGAGAAGGCAGTGGCATTTCTAGATCCTGTTTATATATAGTTTCTTCTTTGCATTCTGTTTCTTCTTTTGAGTTTTAACTTGCATTTGTGGATGCGGTGATGAACTGTGTTCACAGACGTGTTTTCAGAGGTGTTTCTGAGCCCATGCAATGATTTCCACTAGAGAATCATGTCTGTTTTTAATGCAGTGCCGCCTGAAAAGCAAATCAATCAATCAATCAACCTTTATTTAATCTCATTTACAAAGTTGCTGAGTTAATACAGAGCAAGGGATTGACAATGTGTAAGAACATACTAAATAATAAAAGTAAATTTAATAAATGAAGACTCAGATCAGGTAAGTATAAAAAGTGAAACATAATTAACAAAAATACTAAAAAAAAATAAATAAATAAATAATAAAACATACATAAAATGTAAAGATTAATAAAATCAAATCAAAATAAAACAAGAGGAACATAAGAAATTACTAATAAACTAATTTAGTAAAATAATAATAAAAATATGAATATGAAAAGTAATGGATAAAATAACAAATAAGTAATAAAATTATGAAAATAAGATAAAAATGGTAAAAAATCAGGTAACAGTTGCAGGCAGAGTGGAGGTGGTTAGAGAGTAGAAGTTTAAAATGACTGACACCAGTGAGCTGAGCTTTGGTGTTTCCTGTAGTGAGTTCCAGCTCGCTGGTGCTCTGTAACTAAAAGTAGATTTTCCCAGTTCAGTAAATACCCTCGGTACCTGGCATGTGATCCAGCCATTGGAGCGAGTCTGATAAATACCATTATTTACAGATATCATTGAAGTAATATATTCTGGCATATGACCAGAGAGTGTTTTATGAATAAAAATAAACCAGTGTGTTTCTCACTGTGTAGCTAGTGAGGGCCAACCAACTTTTTCATACAGTCAGCAGTGATGAGTGTTATAAGGGTCTCCAGTAATGAACCTCAGAGCAGAGTGATAGACTCCAGTGGTTTGAGGGAGCTGGCAGATGCGTGTTTGTAAATTACATCACCATAGTCCATGACAGATAGTAAGGTTGCCTCAACAATTCTTTTTCTAGCATGCATGGGGAAACAGGATTTATTTCTATATAGATCACCGAGCTTCTGTCTACATTTGCTAACCAATTTATTAATATGGGGGGGGGTTTATCATCCAGCCATATGCCAAGGTATTTATACTCTGTGACTGTCTCAATGTTGGATCCCATCAGGGTAGTGATATTTACAGTATTAAAATCAGTATTAGTAGAAAACAGCATGAACTTAGTTTTCTTTGCATTTAAAACTAGTTTGTGTTTACACAAAGCAGCCTGTAGGGCATTAAATGAGCATTGCAGTTTTCTTATTGCAGCATAAACAGAGTTAGCTGAACAGTATAAAACCATGTCATCTGCATACAGGTGTACTTTGCGATCTGAGGCAGAGGCAGCAAGTTCATTAACATATATATTGAATAAAACTGGACCCAAAATTGAACCTTGTGGTACTCCTTTGGATATACTCAAGAAATCTGATTTCTAATTACTCAGTGCTACACACTGTTGTCTGTCTGAAAATGCTTTTGATAAATCAATAAAAATGGCAGCACAATGCTTCTTCCTGTCTATGGCCATATAGAGATCATTTGAATAATTCAAATTAATCAATCACCCATTGTAGAACTGACTGTGTTTTTCCTCTCTTTCCTTTGCCGAGTTGAACAGCTGCCCATCCAGATGCTGATGCTGCTGCCTCTGCTGCCTTGATCAGGTGCCCCTGCTCACCATGCAAACCTCACCCTTACAACCTGACCCCACTGATGCTGCTGCCGCTGCTGCCGCTGCTGCCGCTGCTGCTGCATGAACTATTCAAATTAATTGTTTCCTTCACCTTTACCCTGTTTTTGTACTATAATACTTTATACTAACAATGTTTACTATCCGGTGTCGACCAGAGGAGGATGGGTTCCCCTTCCGAGTCCTGGTTCCTCTCAAGGTTTCTTCCTGTTTATCTTAGGGAGTTTTTCCTTGCCACTGTCGCCACTGGCTTGCTCATGGGGGCTCGGACCCGGATTTCTTTTTGTAATGCTCATTTCCTTGTAAAGCTGCTTTGTGACAACACCTGTTGTAAAAAGCGCTATATAAATAAACTTTACTTACTTACTTAAAACCAGTGTGGTAGCAGAGATCGTGCTGTGTCTTTCTCTAAAGCCAGACTGATAGTTAACAGGATGAAATTGTCATGTAGAAATGATTTAAGTTGACTATTTATTAGAAGTTCTAAAATTTTAGCTAAACAAGACAATTTTGATTGGTCTGTAGTTATTTACATCTGCTGCCTCACCTCCTTTATGCAGTGGAGTTACATGAGCTATTTTCCAAATCCTGGGAATTCTGCATGATAAAAGAGAGAGATTAAAAAATATATGTTATGTATTCTAAAATAACTGGGGCTGCTAGATGCAGGAAGTAAGGGTCCAGCCCACCTTCACCTGTAGTTTTTCGTGGATTAATAGTAGTAAGAAATTTAGCTACTATGATTGGAGAGAAGGGCTGGAGTGTAAGGAGACCATGGCTCTGTGTAGCAGTAGAGTTGTTGTCAGTTTTATCTAACTACAGATTCGAGTCTGTATTTGCAAAAATGTGGCCAGCTGAAGCAAAATGTGTGTTAAAAGCTCTACAGATTTCCTTCTGATCAGTTGTCAGCTGATCATCAACTATAACGCTGGTTGGAAGGGTAGAGAAATTGTTTTTAAGGGATTTTACAGTTTCCCAAAAGTTCTGAGTGTTTGTAGGGCTGGTAATCAGGCCGAGATAATAATCTGATTTGGCCTTTCTAACTGCAGAGGTACATCTATTTCTCAGTTGTCTGAACATGAGCCAGTGGCCTCTCTCTCCTGTGCGTCTAGCAGTGGACCAAGCTTTATTTCTGGCTTTAAACAATGAGGAAACTTCACCAGTGAACCAGGGACTTGATCTGTCTCTTATTCTTTGCTTTTTGTGGGGGGCATGTTTGTTTACCACCGTTAGAAATGATTTGCTAAAGTGGTTTAGTGCCAAGTCAACATCTGGAATTTCTAGTGTAAGGTGGATTTCACTCATTGCTCAGATAGAAAAGCTTGTTCACTAAAATGTTTAAAATTTCTTCTAACCACCATCCGAGAGCCTGTTTTGTTCTTGTAACTGTTTCTAATGCATCCAATGGGGCAGTGCTCACTAATACCAAGGTCAAAGACTGCTTGGTGGAATCCTTCGGATTTGGGCATGTTGATTCCATGACTAATTGTGTGAGGGTAAGATTTCCACATATTTCCTTTAAGTAATCGGAAGCATTAGAAAGCCAGTTAAGATTAAAATCCCAGGAGGACCAGCATTTCAGAGGCAGTATATTGTGATAAGAGTGGGCTGTTTCATCAAGAGCAGAAGACGGAGCAGAGGGAGGCCTGTATATCTCAGCTAAAATAAGAGTTATTTTTCCTAAGGGACACTTTCAGAGCTATGAACTCGAAGTATTTTTCTTTGGAGACTGCAGCTAATAAGGTGGCTTGTATAGTTACTCTTACATAAATAGCAACTCTGCCTCCTCTTGATTCTCTGTCTATTCTAAAAAGGTTAAAATCATTTAAGGCCACGTCTTCATCACTTACAGATTGTCTAAGCCAGGTCTCTGTTAGCATTAATATATCTGGGTCAGATTGTGCAATCAGGACGTTAAGTTGATCCTTCTGGAGTAGGCTTCTAATGTTAAGATGAATTATGCCTAAAGCTTTTCTGTTTTTAAAACTCAAGATCTGTTATAGCATTTACTGCAGGGTTTTCTCGTGAGTGTAAAGTAATTGGAGTTGGATCAATAAAAATCAGATTGTTTGGATTAATAAAACCATTAAAATTGTTCACTTCTTTGTTATTTCTTTTTGATGGAGAGCTGGTCCTGGGTCTTCTACCCAAAACTACAGAGATATTTGAGTTTGAGTTTGAGGTATGTAATAGTCATCTGGAGTTAAAAACAGAGTGAAATATATTGTGACCTAAACTCTGTGAACCCAGGCTATTGGGATGAATACCATCCACTCTGTAAGAAGAAGGGCAGTTCCAGAAAAGGTTAAAATTGTCAATAAAAGTCAAGTTTTCGCAGAGGCAGGTTTTTTGGAGCCAGGTGTGAAGGTTTAAAATGCGGCTAAAATGTCCTGAACCTCTTCCCAGTGACGGAATTAGTCCAGAGATAAAAACAGATTTACCACAGTCTTGTACAGAAGACAGCAGGCTTGTGAAGTCCTTTTTAAGCAGTTCTGTGTTCTGATTTCTGATGTCGTTACATCCCACATATATTACTATCTTCTTCACTGAGGCGTATTTGTTTAGAAGACTGAGGAGCTGCTGTGTAATGTCAGAGACTTTTTCACCAGAGACAGAGTGAACTATGGCTGTGTGGTGCTTAACGTTTCTAATGATTGAGTCACCTACTATGAGCGTGGATGGAGGACTGTAGCGAGGCGGTCGAGGCTGAGGTGGGGATGGACGATGGGTTCGTTCCTCGGTACCCAGCGGTGTGTCGGGAAACGAGGGGTCAGCGTGGCAGAATTCCGGTGCGGGGAAGGGCGGTTCGGCTGTCCGTGTGGAAGCTGTGAGGGAGATCGGCAGGGTGGACTGGGTAGGTAGGCAGCGGTTTGGCTGTCCGGCCGCTTCCAGCTGAGAGGTGGAGTGGCGGGCCCGCTGCACAGTGGGGTTTCCAGATGGAGCAGGGGTGAGGTTTATGGCTGGAAAGCTCACTTGGACGTTGTGTACTGACAATTGTTTGTCAGCAAAAGTAGCGTCTTCCAGCTCCTCCAACACAGAGAATCTGTTGCTCAGGTGAACCTTTCGTGGAATCGGGTGGCGAGCAGAGCGCCTCTACCTGCAACGGACGGCTCAGTCTGGCACGGCGTGGAGCAGCACACCTCCCTGGCCTTGGGTTTAGCTCCTAGCCGAGGCCAGTGATCCTCGTCCCGGACAGCCGTAGCAGCCGTTCGAGGAAGACTGCTGTCTAGCCCGGTGCTGATCGCCTGCGTTGTAGCCAGCAAGGAGTCGAGGAGATCCTCATCGTCTTTGATCTGGTAGAGCACAGAGATTCTTCCTTCCAGTTCACTAATCTTCTGGCTCAGCTGCGCACAGCCATCATATCCAGCTGGAGAGCTGAGGGGAGGCATGGCGCAAAAACTCGTAGATTTAAATTAAATAAAACAAGAAGTCCGTAGTTTAGTGTAGTCAGTGCAGAGGCTCGGACGGATAAAAAATTTGACTGTTAAAACAAGGCTTAAAAAAATAGAAGGTAAAAAACAAAAGCTGTGTTGCCCAGTTTGGCTAAAATTTAGGCTAAAAACAAACCAGCTTATCAGCGGTGCCTGACGCTCTGCTCTGACGCTCTGATCAGAGGTTCTTTGCTAGTTTATGTTGAGAAATGTTATTCTTGAATTGTTGCTCTATTTGATCGTGCAGTCTTTCACAGAGTGGGGAACCCCTCCTCGTCTTTACTTCTGAAAGACTCAGCCTCTCTGGGATGATCTTTTTTAAACCCAGTCATGTTACTGACCTGTTGCCAATCAATCATCAGATGTTGTTTTTTAAGCATTACACATCTTTATCAGCCTTTTGTTGCCCTGTCCCAACTTTTTAGGAATGTGTTTTTGGCATCAAATTCAAAATGCACATATCGTTTTTTAAAAAATAATAACATTTCTCAGTTTCAACATGTGATATGTTGTCTTTGTACTATTTTCTGTGTATTGGAAGGGGTGCTGATACAACCGTTAATCACAAATTTTTCACTAGCAAATATAATGCACTGGAGCCTGGAGGATATTATCATGAGCAAGATGTAGCGAGAGAGTGCCTTAAATTTTGGAAAAAAGACAAATCTACTAAACAGCAAAACAAAAATAATTTTAACTTACAAAAATAAGCACACTGACGGTTTTAAATTTCAAGTGCTTGCAAACATCAAATAGTCAGTTAACAGAACAATGTGTGTAACATTCTTATCACGTTTCCTGGTTCACGCTCGGGTTCACAACTCAGTATGAACTCCAACTCCCAAGATCCCTCAGCTAGACATGTGACTCAGTCCACCAATCATTGGCCAACCAGCAGATCCAGCTCACTTGAATACTGATTGTCATCATCTGTTGAACTGTAGATTTTAAACCTGTCTGTTCCTCTGTGTTGCTTTGTGAAGTATTGCCTCTGTTTGTTCAGTGTGTACTGAGCCGTTTGCCTCCAGTTGCTTCTCTCGTTTTTGGCTTTGCTTTGTCTTTCAATTTTTGTCTTTTACATTCTTCCCTTTTGGCTTAGTTTGCATGGTAGTTATATCTTCTGGTTTTTACACATGCCTGTTTCTGGTTACAGTTTTGCCTGCTCCAATGTATTGTGTTTTTCTCTTTTGGATTTTGCTCTGGTCTGGTGTTAACCCCGTTTTTTGTACCAACCCTTTTTTAAATAAACCTTCTGGTTTATTTTACCTCCTCATTAATCATTAAAAATTACTCATTTGAAATTCAGCTCCACTGTAAGTACAATGCAAATAATTTCTATGCACTTGTTCCATATCACTACTACACTTTACCTTTGTTTATCAAATGTACTGTTAATATAAAGTCTTTAGCATTATAACAATAATTATAACCATTTTCATTTCAACTAATTGTGTTTATTATTTATTCATTCATTAATGTAAGCTAAGGTTGTGAATGTTAAACCTTTTGTCTTTGATTTTGCAGGTTTAGTGATGCATCATCATCTTTAAATGATTTAATCAAGAAAAGTCAGCAGCTCAGTCCAGGCCCACCAGCACTGTACCGTCTTTACACAACAAGAAGTAATCTAGACAAAGATGGCAAGATCAGAAAGTGGACATTTGGACAGAAATATGGAAATCTCCAAAACAAAACAATCCTGATGGTGGGAGAAACTGGAACAGGCAAGACCACTCTGATCAACACCATGGTCAATTACTTTCTGGGGGTGAAGTTTGAGGATAAAGTGTGGTTTGAGATCACAGAGGAAGAAAACAGAGACCAAAGAGAATCTCAGACATCGGAAGTCACTGTTTATGAGATCATTTCTGAGGAGAAACTCTCCTCTCTTACCATCATTGACACTCCAGGTTATGGAGACACCAGAGGAATAGATAAGGACACGGAAATCCCTCGAAACTTACGTGATTTATTTCTACATGGTACTGGAGTGAAGGATCTTGATGCTGTGTGTCTTGTACTGAAGGCATCTAAGAACAGAATCTCAGACAGTCAGCGCTACATTTTTGAAGGAGTTCTGTCCTTATTCGGTAAAGACATAGAGGACATTATAGTGCTGTTTATTACACACTCAGATGGAGGACCACCAACAAATGCTCTGGAAGCCATCAAGAGAGAAAAGATCCCCTGCTGTTACGATAATGATGATGAACCTGTTCATTTCATTTTCAACAACCGTCAGTCTGAGAAACAGACAAAAAAATATGAGCATTTTTCCAAATCATCTTGGGAAATGGGGGAACGTAGTCTGGAGGAATTTTTTGAATTCACAAAATCACGACAGAGAAAAAGCTTAACTATGACTGTAAGTGTTCTAAAGGAACACATGCAGCTTGAGGCCTGTGTTGAGAGTCTGAAGGAACGCATCAAGTACAGAGAAGCGAAACAGAGTGAACTGACTGATGTTCAGGAGGCTCTGAAACTGAACAAAGAAAAGATTGAGAAGGATAAAAATTTTCCTTTCACTGTCACGACAGTTTACAAAGAGAAAGTTGGCATTACGGATGTTTCATGGAAGGACCGAAATGTGACCTCCTGCTATGAATGTGAGGAGAACTGTCATGAGTATGGCTGCTGGATTGCCATAAATGCCAACTGGTGCGAAGTTATGAAAAGTAGGCGTTGCGCTGTATGTAAGTGCCCTGACAGTAAACATGTCAGAGAGGGCAAGAAATATGTCATAAAGAAGAGAGAGGACGTAGTCACATTTGACCAACTGAACAAGAAATATAGTACTACAAATAAAGACAAAACCTCTTATGATGAAGATCGTTTCAAAAAATTGGAAACAGAGCAGGAAAAATCACTGGAAATGATAGAAGAGATGACGGACCTAGAAATCAACCTGAAAAAGCTCCTGGCTGAGAATGAAGAAGAGAAGAAGAGCTCGGTGAAAGACGCCTATGTGGCAATCATAAAACTGTCTGAGATTGCATTAAAACCAGACTCGGCCTTCACCATTCAATACCTTGACTTCTTGATTCCTCGAGTTGAAGAAGTTGGAACAGCAGAGTGGGTTCAGAAACTGAGGGACATGCAGAAAACTGCAGCTGCTAAAGAATCAACTGAATCTGCGGTGGGATATTTGAGGATGATGAAGGATTACTTTAGTAGAAAATAACAGGATTTGGCTTTAACACTGTAGGAATGGCACCAGGAGTTCATATTCAGAACACAGAAAATGCAGAATCTGTATTCAGTCTGTGACTCATTTTGAAAAGGCAGTGTTCAGAACACAGTTACTTTTTTAGAATACCCATTAATTATCATCTTTGAAATATAATCATGTGCAGCATGAGGCATACTCGTTAGACTAACTCTTTGTAAGCTGCCAAAGTTCTTGTTACAGCAGGATACACTGATACACTCATATCACAGACAGATTTTTGCTCAGCATTACAAAACTCTTTTATTTTAAAATGATACTTTTACTTCAGTTGTATTTGTGAGGAGGGGAATATTTAGCTTTCATTCAGTTTTTTTTTTTCAGTTACATTTTAGCCATTGGCATTTTATTATTTGTTCCTGTTTTGTGTTTTTTATTATGATACTTTGCTGACAGCAGAACTATTGCTTTTGTTACTGGTCACACCTCTACATTTGGAGCTTTAGCTTTTGATTTTATTACATTATTATTGTTACTATTTTTTATTTTGTTATCTGTTCTGTTATTTTCCTTTTTTTAAGACATTAGTGCATGTGATTGAGAATGTGTTAGTTGACAAGGAAGTTAAGGGAACGCATGAGCAGTATAGATTTCAGATTAGATCAAACTTACTGCCCTTAGAGTAGCAGCCATAGACTCACTGCTCTCTTTTGTCCAGTGATATTACAAAATACCATCTGTACTGTTTCTCTTGTAAGAGCTTAATCTTATTGTCTCAAATGTCTCTCAGAATGTATTAGAATGTCCTGTGCCTTTCTGTTACCGTAACTGATATGTAACTTTGACTAGATTTATTACAGGAGAACCAGTTTTGATCAGTCCAGGGTGGAAAAACTCTCTATAGTCTGTATGTTCTCCTGCTTAGAGCTGGGAGAAAGAGAAAGTGATTGACCTGTTTAATGTCTGTGTAAAACAACATATAAAATAAAGCCAACTTTCTCCTCAAATTAGACGACTCAGTCTAGTGTTTTCACAATGACTTCACAGTGCTGTTCAACATCTTTATCAACATAAAACAGTATCAATAAGATAGATGGAGCGAATAAAGTGGCCAGTGCGTGGAAATCCAAAGTGGTTGTTTCTAACAAATTGGCCAGTGAGTGGAAGGACAAAATAGGTGTCTCTAATGAAGTGGTCAGCGAGTGGAAGTACAACACAGGTGCTGGAATAATGTAGTATTGTGCAAAATAAGTGAAATATAATAATGAAATGAGAAATATTACATAGAATACATAGTACATTAGTATACATTAAAAGTTCTAGAAGACATACATGTATGTCTGCTTATTCAGATGCTTTGAGGGCCCCACATGTTTACTGAAGAATGCATGTTTGCTCTTGAGTCTTGTCTGTATCACCAGTGTCTCTGCTAGGGAGGAGAAACTCGTTTGACCCTACAGTCCTTGACAAAACTGGAGTTAATGCCTGCCATGTGCAGCAATTCCCAATAGAATTTCCTCTTATAGACATGCAGACAGATCAGCTGAATCAGGTATACTTAACCAAGACAGACAGACAGTACAGTCCAGATACAGGAAACATGCAGAATATCTATGAACTGACCCCCTAAGCTGGTTATATTATGATCAGCTAGAAGAATCTTTTCTATTGGTTTCACTCTGGTAATGTTAACCTCTAAAGCAGTCTAATGTAAACAGTCTGTACTTAGTAGTGCTAAACTGATACACTGGTTTGTCTATATCACCTCTCAGGGATTTATTGACATTGCCAAAAATCCCACAGATAAAACATGGATACACAGACACTTCTGATATGAAGAAGATGGTTCACTTTTAAGACATTCAGTCAACAGTAAGCAGTTCAGGATGAACTGATGAATTTAAAAACAAAACAACATGGAAATTAAAACAACAACATCTAATATGCACCCAAACTGAACCTGTTATAACACAATAAAATCTTTCTATGAAGAGATCTGAAGAGTAATAAGAAAAATAAAAACTAACAGAAAACAACAAAACTGCTACGACTTCTGAGAAGCCCACCAGGTGATGTAAAAAATGTTGTGTTCTGAAATTCTCATATATCTTGAACTCTTTCCTGCAGCTGGAATATAAGGAACTCATGTGCAAGACAGGGTAATTGTTGGCTTCCTCTATGTATAACATGATCCCAACAACAAGAACACACTGGTTTTACTCAGTAAAGTTGAATAAAAACAAGCGTAAATCTGAGCACACAGAATGACGTACAGACTGCTCTATGTCTGATTCTGCTGTAGGACATCAAAATAAACTGAGATTCACTTCAACCAGGTATGCACATGTTAAAACAATCCACTGCAAACAGTATGTCTTAATAAAACCAGGAATTAAAGAAGATTAACGAATAAAATAAAAAACTAAAATAAAATTAATTAAACGTTAAGTTGGCATTATAGTTTTGTCCAGTGATCTTTTTCATTAGTGTATCATAGTGCATAAAAAAATACCAAGTTCACTGACCATTGACAACAATGATGCACCAACTTTTTCTTTTTTTTTTGACATTTTTAAATGTGCTTTTGGCTTTGAAACAATTACAAAATAACAGCCTCTACTTGGTCAGAGCTGATAAATCTTGACTGAGTTAATGCTAGAAAGCAGTGGATGTTGAGCAATGATTGAAAAGCTAAGAAAGGCAGAAGGTGGAAAGAGCACTGAAAGTCCCTAATTAGGTGAAAGTACTGCTACTGCAGTGATATTTACTTGAGCAAAAGTATTCATAAAGAAAATTACTCAAGTAAGAGCAAATAAGTAAAACTACTTGAGGTGATGCTACAGTCATCTGTGGCTGGTAGTGCAAGAAAGCACAACTGATCTTGCTCTCTCTGGGTGGGTACGATGGCCCTCCCTCTCCCCCATCACTCAGTGTGATGCTAGCCAGTGCAGGCATCTGTTAGTAACAGAACTAGCGGTTAGCTTTCTCCTCCAGCCCCGTTCAGCTGTCCAATAACGTTATGTCAGCAGCAGTTTGAAACGATGTGTTGGCTGGCTTCACATGACTTGGAGGAAGTTTGTGTTTGCCTGCGCCATCCTAGCTAACTAGAGGATAAAACTGGATATGACTAAATTGTGGAGAAAAAAAAGCAAACTACTTGAGCAATGAAGTTACTTTTTTATACATCATTAATCACAGTCTGGAAATATTTAAATACGCTCTGCTAGTGAAAAATTACACATCTTTCTGGGAACCATGAGATTACTTGATTAAGAGTCAAAACAGCAGATACTCAGTTAGTATAATATCATTTTTAGTGACAGCCCAACTGTCCATCAGCTGCCTGAATGTTAGCCTAAATTAGTTCATAGGTGCCAACCCCTATAGACAGCAGAGAGAGAGAGAGAGAATGTTTTTTTTTGTTTCTTTTTTTTTTTCCTCACAGTGAGATGGGATGTGTTTTTTATAGTCTCTAACTGAGCGCATACAAGATGAAGATTTTCCACATCATGTAATGAGAGCAGACCAAGTATGGAGAACATGCCCAAAAAATCACATCAACAGCTGATAAAGCATCTCAACTGAAATATATTTACTTTTTTATTTTTATTTACTTTGTTTTTGCTGCTCTATAATTGCCACTGAGGATATGCTGTAAGGCCTTTTGTTCCTAGTAATGATTTTTTTTATTTGATTATTTTAATAATGTGTAATAGGTAAAGAAAAATCCAACAAAACCAGACGAAGACTGAGAAAAATGCATTACACTATATAGACAAAATTATTGGGACACCTGCACATTACATCTACAGAAGCTTTTATGACATCCCATTCTAAATCCATAGGCATTAATATGGAATTGGTCCCCCTTTGCAGCTATAACAGCTTCCACTCTTCTGGAGAGATTTTGGAGTGTGTCTGTGGGAATTTTTGCCCATTCATCCAGAAGAGTGTTTGTGTGGTCAGACACTGTTATACAAGAGAGCCTGGCTCGCAATCTCCATTTTAGTTCATCCTAAAGGTGTTTGATGGGGTTGAGGTCAGGGCTCCGTGAGGGCCAGTCAAGTTCTTCCACACCAAACTTACCCAACCATGGTTTGTGCACTGGGGCACAATCTTGCTGGAACAGAAAAAAAGCCTTCCCCAAACTGGTGCCACAAAGTTGGAAGCATACAATTATCCATAATGTCTTGTTTGAGAGGACAAGTGTGATTTGTCACTCCACAGAGTATGTTTTCACAGCTTCAGAGTCCAGTGTGTGCTTTATACTTCATCTGACACAGGTTTGGAGCTCTGCAGTTATTGAGTCAGCAGAGCATCGGTGCCTTTCATGGACTATGTGCCTCAGCACTCGGCACCCCGCTCTGTAACTATACGTGATCTGGCTGAGTTGCTGTGGTTCCTATAAGCTTCCACTTTTCAATAATACCACTCACAGCTGACAGTGGAATATCCAGGAGGGAAGAAATTTTGCAAACTGACTTGTTGCAACGGTGGCATCCTATTACAGTACCACGCTCAAATTCAGTGAGCATAACTAGGTGCTTGATTTTATACACCTGTGGCAATAGGACAATATGAAACACCTGAATTCAGTGATTAAGAGGTGTGTCTCAATACTTTTGTAGTGTATATGAATAGTGAAAGGGAGCCTCTCTGGTCATGGCTCACTCACTGTAGCTCCCTGAAAAACTGAAGTACCAGGTAGTGCCATTTGACTCTCTGAAAAGTAATGAACAAATCATAATGTTGTAACCATGGTTGTGTTATTATATTTTAAAAACTTTAACCCATTTATGCCCAAAAACTAATCTGAGTATTATAAGGGAAAATGCCATAAAACTTGTTCTGATTGGTCAAAAGTGATAATTTTGCATAGTTATATTCTGGATGAAAGAAGATTTGAACATGTTTTGTTTTGTGAAAAAGTTCAATATTTAAAAAAAAACAAAAAAAAACATATACAGTTTAACAGAGCACAATGTAATTGGTCAGTTCCATGAATAATAAACAAATTTTATGGGTTATTTTCATTGGTTTGTATGGATACCACCATGGGATACCACCATGTTCGTATTCAAAACAGATATAATGGCTCTTATTCATTAACATTACATCTTTAATGACGTACAAACTACTCTCTGTAAGGGCTCAGTCCACAACACCTCCAGCAGGGGGCCTAGGCATCATGCCAGGAGAGCTGTAAGGCACAGCTTCAAAAACTCCAACTCCCAGAAGCCCTAGCGCTAATCAATGCTGACTGGATGCACCTGGAGAACACTGCATAAAAGCTCACACAAACTACAGCTCAGGTACTTTAGCCCAGGTGAGTAGAAAGAAAGACAGCAAGAAGTAAAAAGAAAAAGCACGGAACCTAGTAAAAGAAAAGAAAGGAACGAGAATCTAAAGGGGAAAAGGCTGACCAGAGCTCCAAAAGAGAAGATAAAATCAAGGGGGGTTGGTGAGCTGGACTGGGGTTAGCTCAGCTCAGCTCTCATCAGAACAGAACAAGTCAAACTGAAATTTTAAGCAAGTAATACATATTACTACCACATTTGAATCATTGTGATTTGTGTCTATACAGTACTGTGCAAAGTCTGAAACCATCCTTTCATTTATTTCATTTCCAGTCAAAATGGCCATAAAGTACAAGTGTAAAAGTGTTGTAAGTGATACAGAAGTGAAATGGAGTGCATTGTTTATAATCCACCATTAAATAAAACTGTCAAACCATCTATCTAAATATTGCTCAAAGTTAAACTGTGCTGCTAAGTAGAAGAGCTTATTAGCATTAGCGTAGCTAGCATTATAACAGCTCTGCTCACCATAGAACAGGTTGAGTTCTGGCTACCTGAAGCACCAGCAGTGCAAGTTTAGATAAAATTTCAAATCTGATGGTGTGAAACAGAACACCTGCTGTTGGAAGTACAGAAAGACAAATGTTAATCTATTCTGTCGTGTCTGGATCTGTAGCACATTAGCTAAGCAAGTTAGC